ATAAGCTACTTTAGGTTGCTACGCAATCAGGATTTACATTTTATTCGAATTGTCAATCAAATTGTTATCAAAAGAAATTCATTACAAACTACAAAATAAATTTACTGTTTATTAGTAATCCAAAATACGAATGAAATGGATAATGTTTCTGCACTTATACTGTTTGGCTTTATTAGTGACAAGTAATACTTATTTTTATAAATTAAGTTTTCTTGGTTGTTTAGTGATAATATAAAATTTAAAATTTTTCGAGCTAGAAAAGAACTTAGTTATGTCAGTTAAAATATTCATTACAATGCAATTATATGTTTAATAATATAAAATAACGTTTAAAAATAATATTTATTTTTTAAACGTTTAATTACAATTATCTTACCCGTAAAATATTGAGGCTTAAAGTACTCACTCCGAATATTATCATAAACATAAAAGACATCTCAAAATTGGTTATTAGATACGTGGAAAACCTTTTAATCGAAAAAAATCTGTATATGCGGGTTTATGTTACTGTGCATATTATTTAAAATAATATCATAAATATAAATGGAAAAATACAAACATCATAGCTTTCCGATGAATATCTATGGCACGAATTATTCCTTTATAAACCAAATTCTTGTGCGGCAAATTAATATCTTGTAACATATGAAATTTCATTGCGTATTTAATACGATAACTGTGAATAATTAATAGAAACAGCTATAGTTTTGACTAATTTTACTTTTGAAGATACACTATTACTTCAATCTATTACAGTAAAATGTAATATTAAAACTACAACATATTTTTTATTTATTATTATTATTATTATATATTGTGTAAGTTTCTAAACTTTTTATCGTTATTACTTTTTATTTATTGCTTTGTTTCTAATTTCGAAAAATTTTATAACAGATAAACAGAATTTTGTTTAACTCAAAGTTTATTTATTGTTTTTGTACTTATTGCTTTACCTAGCAATTTGAAACATTCCGCAAGCATATTGCAGGTATGCCATAAGCATTGTTCCTGTTGCTACTGCACCGATTAACCCTATACCGATAGTTACATTTTGATGCAGTAAAAATAAGTGGAAATATTTTTCTTGGTCAACAAAGTATTCAGTCATAAATGGTAAGCGTCGTGGTTGAGAGTTGTTTACTGAGAAAATAATATGAAGAATATCCGGCCATATTTGAATGATCACAATAATAAACACAGCACTGATGCCAAATACTAAACAATATTATAAACAAGTAATATTTTAATTATATAGTAGTGAACTTGTGTTTTTGAAGTATTTAAGCCTTAAATCGTGCGTTGTTTCATATAACTAAAAATGTGTCTTATGTTATACACAAACTTAGGTTAATTAAATAAATTTGTTAATTATTTTAAATGTAAAGCGTAACAGGAATTAAAAAATTTATTAGATGGAAATATTGTCTTACTTATAATTATAATTGTGAAACGTTTTGCGTGCTTCCCATGTTTTTCTATAATAGCGATTTCATTTTTATCTGTTAAATCATCCCAAATTCGTTGTAGCTGTTCCAGCAAATACTTTATCTGTTGTTTCAATAAGTTTTTATGCATTTATCTTGACAAAATAGAAAACAATTTTGGAATTTATCGTATAAAAGTTTGTACATTGCGAATAATATTTAAATATAACGTATTGTTTAACTTACTGTTTCGGCGTTGACATAAAATGAATTATACTTTACCGCAAGAGTTATACAAGCAAATACAAAAGAAAAAATTTTAATAACAAGGTCTACGGTACAGTTTGAAGTTGTAAATATTGTAAGCTGTAAATAATATTTTTATTCAAGAAACTAGAATAACAATAATTGTTACCAGCAAACTGTGAAATTTATCTAGTTATTTCTACTTGTTCAAGTACGATAAAATTACAATAAACAACAGTAAATAATAATTTGGTAATAAAGTATGACAGTATATTTATAATAAGATATATACATAAAGAGTCCGAAAGGAAAGAGAATACTTTATGAAATATTTGATACTTTATGTTTAAAAGTATTATAAGAAAATACAAAAATATCCCAAAAAACTCTTAGAAAAAAAGGTTTAATTAATATAATTTTAAAAACGTTTTATTTCACATTTCAGATATCATTTTACATTAGTTTCAAAGTATTCAGTATGAAAAATAAATAGAAAATTTTATTTAAAATAAATTTTATTTTAAAACTTTAGATGAGTTTTTACGTAATTCTGATAACATTGTTGAACTTCTTATCAATATTATTATATTATGTACTGTTTAAAACATTACGATCTTTATGTTTAACATTTTTTTCGAAAATATTTCATTATCGCAACATTTAGAAAGTCGTGTTTTTTCATATTTTATATAATAATATAATTGAAATGTGACATACCTGAAATACAATAAGACTTACTAAACCACTATAGCAACATATTAAGTGAAGTTGAGCAAGTTTCGATTTTTGATAAGGCCATAAACCAATTGCCAGCAAAAGAGTCCGATGGAGACTGAAAAATCTATCTTCTATACTGATCATGTCTCTACTGGCACTAAAACACGTTTGACGGAACGAAAGAGGGTAGAGGCTTCCTTATCCCCACTTTTTAGTCAGTTTATTCAATATTTACAAGACCTCTTTCTTGCGTAAAATTTAGTATAATTTAAATAAACTTCGTAATTCCGCATCTACATCGCAAAATGACACAATACACTGCTATGAAATACTACTATAAGATCGGAACATTCGCAATTTTACATTTCTTGAAAAAACGAAAGTCGATTATCGAACACCGAATGAAATTTAACAGATGTACTTTTCTCATAGAATTGCATTTACGAAAGAAATTCTCGGGTGAAACTCACGCAAGCGTACTCGTCGCTTCTCACGATGACCTATATCTATGTACTTGATTCCGACGTGTCTTGTCCATACTATGTTGCGTCTATATAACGTTCCGTATCGTTTGAACTATTAGTAAAGATAATTAAAAACTGTCATATCTACAATATAAAGTTGTTAGCCCGCAAACAGTATTTATTACTAAAAATAAAGGTTTGTTTTTGTATATATTATTTCTATTTAAGAAATCACTTCGAAATTATCATAAACATAAATAACATCTCAAATTTATTTATTAGATATTAGATGTGTAGAAAATTTAAAAAAAAATCGGTGTATGTTATTATACATACTATCATACATAATATCATAAGTGTAAATGGAGAAATACCAACATCATATATTTCCGATGAACATGCATTCCGATGAACGGCATGAATTATTTTTCTATAAATCAGATTCTTATATGACAAATTAACATCCTGTGGCGTATGATATTTTATTGCGTTCTCAATAGGGTAACTGTGAATATTTGTAAAATTGCAACATATTTAAATTAAGGGGAGTGGATAGAAGAAATGAATTAATGTCTGCATATTTTCAACAATTATATATCAAATATATTTTAAAACATTTTTTACTATTACTACTTATAATTTCTTTTTTTGTTTTTAATCTTATAATATTGTAGCAGATAAGTAGAATTTTGTTTAATCCAAATTTTTTCTTCTATTTTTATGTTTATTATTTTAC